TCACAACTTCTGGAGGCAAGTTATTCCACCGATTCTCAGGAAATTTCTTCTTAGTTCTAGGCTGAAAAAAACAAACAGGATTTCACTTATTCTTTTCAATTTTTTCCTTTGAAAGGATGTTTCTATCTTGCAAGATTTTCTATTAAAAATCATTCTCGCCCGAACAGGGACTTGAACCCTGGACCCTCAGATTAAAAGTCTGATGCTCTACCAACTGAGCTATCCAGGCACTCTGATATCTGCATGCTCATACTTTCTACCTTTTCATTATTTTGTGGGGAGAGTGGTACCATTTTGGTCACAGCCATTCATTACCAGCACTACCCTGCTGCTATTATAGATTTGGGATATTCATTTTGGATGAACCTGAGATCTGCCTGTTTCTCCTTTCAGCCTAACTGATACATTTTAAGTATGCAGAATTGCACAAGGTGAAGCAGGAGATGTCCGATGGTCCACAAAATTTCTTTGCCACATTGATGATCCATCATTTGGTCTATTTCCAATTATGGATTTAACCTGACTTCTGCAAGAGCTCTAAATCTTTGTTCCAAAATAGCCAGCCAATAGGTCACGGATGAGAATCTAAGGAACATGGGAATCTAAGATTCTGTATTTACTGTAGTTCTAGCATTAGGATGCCTTGCTATGTCAATACAGTTTTTTGCTTCCTTGATCTCATGCAGCTGGTTGGGACTCAGCACTGTTCCAGGTACCAGACCATAGTCATCAAGCTTGTTCCAGCATATCTTAAGGTTAGCTCTTATGGACATGGGGGATCTTTTGCTTTGCTTTTCTAGTCAACAAGGTGACAGTAGATAGGAGAGGAAATGAAGACAGGAAAATCCACCAATCTCTTCTCTTAAACTTTAAAACTAAGGATACTACCAGTCACTAAAGACAAACAGAGCTCAGCTGTCAGGCCAGCACAATTTATGCCAGAATACTTTTCTGCTAACTCAATAACTCGAGGAATAAGCATTAACATAGCCACAGAAAGAGTCCTGCTTTCAATAGCTGTCATAGCAATCTATGGATTCTGAAGGTATTTTCTATGCAGTATTTTGATGAGTTGCAACCATATGTAACAAGGAATACTTAAATCACGACCATTTTTATTGAAGCCTTGAAGTCAATACACAGTGTGTATGTTTGTGTGCATTAGTGTCATATTTCTTAGCATCATTCTTGGGCTTACATAATAAACTGGTCTCCAGGCTTTTATTTTGAACACAGGACCTATAATAATCAGTGAGTGTAGCCATTGTGTAAGTTATCTTTCAATACACAGAGAATGTTCTTGTGTGCTGTGCTCAGATTAAGAACGCTTTTGCTAGGGAAAATTTAGCTATGACATTAATTGATTGAAAGTAATCGGTGTTAATACACAATAAGAATATATTTACAAACCAAAAACCAATAAAAGGAAATCCAGGGATGGATAGGGGTAATAGAGGTAGTCGGCAGCTTATGACTACAATTGAGCCCAATATTGATGTTGCTAAGTAAGACATGTATTAAGTGAGTTTTGTCCCATTTTATGACTTTTCTGCCACCGTTAAGTGAATCACTGCAGTTGTTAAGTTAGTAACATGGCTGTTAAGTTGCTTGCTTGTCAGAAGATTGCAAAAGGTGATTACAATGATCATACAGTCATAATTATGAACCAGTGGCCAAACATCTGAATTTTGATCATGGAACCATGGGGATGCTACAATGATTGGAAGTGTAAAAAATGATCATAAGTCACTTTTTTCAGTAACCTTGAATAGTCACTAAATGAACTGTGGTAAGTCAAGGACTATCTGTAGTATTCTGTTTTCTGTAGTTTTCTGTGTTTTGATTGTTTTAATGGTATATACATCCATATACTTTACCATTCAGAATATCTCCTCCCACCACTGGTTACTGAATTTGGAGGGAAATTTCTTTTGAACTTCAAAAGTAATTTTTGTAGAATTAAAATCCTTTGTTCCAGCTGCCTGCTGTTTGGATATTGTTTGCTTTTTCTAACATTTACAACTGATATTTGTATTCATATCTTTTCTTGGTTTGGTCTTATTTATATATGTATTCATTTCTATGCATGATTGGGCCAACATTTTACATGAGTAATTTGATATCCAAACTCTCCCAGCTGTCAGATATTATTTTTATTTCTTATTTATTTCTCTTTATTTATTTAGCAGTCGTAGCTTACCGTGCCTTTAAATCCTGTTATCCACAGTTGCCTTCATTTTTAGCTCTTCTCTCCAAGATGTTTTTGAACACAGTCCTTTTTGTGTGAGTCCACAAGTTCCTTTAATTTGTCTCTTGTACCTTTGCATCCATTCTTTCCAAATTATAGTCTTAAACCACCAGTTCAGTGAGTGAAGATTGCTATAATTTCTCATTTCTGATTAGTAGTTAAAGACAAAATCATTTCCTGTGACACACTCACAAAATGTATGCCCAAACTTGTTAATGTCTTGCAGAATTACTTGTCTTAGGCTGGTTTCTGGAAATTGACTATTTTGAAGTGAAACTTTTCACTTATAACAACGTTAAATTTTCCTGTGTAATTCAAAGTGATGTTTCTAAAAGAGTCCTTACCACATACGAGACTCAGGTGGTTAAGGCACCAGGCTAGAAATCAGGAAATAGTGAGTTTGCACACCAGTGGTGGGATTCAAATTCTTTTACTACCGGTTCTGTGGGCATGGCTTGGTGGGCATGGCAGAGGAAGGATACTATAAAAAATCTCCAGGCGGAGATAGTATTTGCCAGTTCTCTGAACTACTCAAAATTTCTGCTACTGGTTCTCCAGAACTGGTCAGAACCTGCTGAATACCACCTCTGTTGCACACACACAAACACAAACACACACAAACACAAAGAGAAATGCATTTTCCTTGTTCTTGTTCATCTTAACAAGAGTTAACACTAGATAGGGCCGAACTTTCTTGTTCATGTGTTATCCCAGGGGCAGTCAACCTTTTTATACCTACCGCCCACTTTTGTATCTCTGTTAGTAGTAAAAATTTTCCCTAAACCACCCACCGGTTCCACAGTAATGGTGATTTACAAAGTAGGGGACAAAACCCCTACTGCCCACCATGAAAGCTGGAACGCCTACTAAGGGGCGGTAGGGACCAGGTTGACTACCACTGTGTTATTCTATCTTACAATAACAGTTACCTTATTCCTCCAATTCAAAATGAATTTAATAAGATTATTCTGGTACAGAAAGAAAATATTCCACTTCCTTGAAAATAGTGAATGGCTGAAAGACATAAGTCAAACATCTTTGATTTTAACTCTACTTTGGTGTTTTAGATACCTTGCTATTTGACGCAAAGGATAAAGTGCCCCAATTACTACCAACTAATTCCACAGACATAAATCAATTGGACCAATTCTATTTCAGCATCCTTCTCTATACTCTGAGGTCAGGGTACCCATGCCAACAAACAGCATTCTCCAATACCTGGTCACAAGTGAGTTCACCCACCAGACTGAATATTCTCATTTTTATTAATGAGAATCCTGAGATTCTTTTCATTTTGATTCATTGAGATATTTTTTGTATCAATTTCTGAAAAGGCTTCAGTGTTGCAGCTTTCAGAATAATGAACTGATCCTTGGGTAGCACTGGTGGTGTTTTGAGTTTCATACCCCTTTCTAATAGATGCAAATACATTGTAAGCTGTACAGAGTTGCTTAAGATGGGTGGCCATATAAATATTTTAAATAAATACAGTCAGCAAGGTCCTCAACGGAACGTAGGTAGGCATCTTGCAAGTAAAGTTGGAGAAATTAACTGGAAAGGGAATAGCAACGAAAACAGTTCTTGTGATTCAAAGTAATCCACACGAGTTGTGATCACTCACATTCCTGTTATTGTTGTACTACAAAAGACAGATGAGAGAGAGTACCCTGGAATGTTATTCTATGAGAGAAGAAGAGGTCCCTGTGCAGAGAAAACTAGCATAACAGGGAGAAGACATCAAAAACCAGGCAGCTTGCTTTCTATCCGGATGAAATTAAAGTCTGGCAAGAATTGCAGGGGTCTCCAACCTTGACAACTTTAAGACCTGTGGACTTCAACTCCCAGAATTCCTCAGCCAACAAAGGAATTCTGGGAATTGAAGTCCACAAGTCTTAAAGTTGCCAAAGCTGGAGACCCCTGAGATAGAGGACAGTAATTAGTATGCAAAGATCCTGCATCCAAATTAGGCAAGGTAGACATAGATTGATAGCAGAGGATTCAGATCTTTTTCTGCTATAAAGCGTGGACAGGTAAATGCCTACGGAGGTTCTCAGTCATCCCGATCAGGATGGTCCCAAAGGTGCATTTAATAAAGGCAGCTGGGCTTTCTTCATTTTTCTTATCCTTGAAGACATCTCGATTGTCAACCAAGAAGCTTCTTCAGTTCCAATTAACTGGAGGGGAATGGGAAGGATTTATAATCTTTGCAGCCGGACAGTCATTAACACTCTCATGGTCTTAGAAACCACTTGGGAGGGGGGGGTTTGTTAAACTGGGTTCTCAGATTACCTATCAGGTGGAGGGCAGGAGAACAGGGAAGCTTCCTTGATATTGTATACTTCGATAAAAGTGAACACAAAAGATCCTTGCCTCTGATCTAAATCAGAGTCTGTGTAATGAAGCTCAAGAACGAGTTGAATTTGGGTATTTTTTTTAATTGCTTTCCATCCTGATCGGTAATTGGATTACCCCTCTCCCTCCGTCCCCCCTTTTCTCTACTTCGTTTTTAGGCCAATGGGTACCATCATCGCCTTGCTTTTCGCGGCATGGGCGCTACAGCCTTGGAAAGGCTGCATCTGTTGAATCCCTGACTTTTCTTCCCACCGCAAAATACGGCATCGCTGACATCGGGAGGACAAATCCCGCGCCATTCACGCCCCTCAGGCCCTCCCTCCCTCTCGCCCTCCCACCTCAGGCCACGGCGGAGAGGAGGAACCAGCGCCGCGTGAAGCCCTCTGGCCCTCTGCGGGAGGTGGCGGCAGGGTGGCCCCTCCCTCCCGAAGCGCCGGGCTCAGGTTGTTCTTGGAAACCAGAAGCCTCTAGTTCTTCTTTCTGCCCGGATGGGACCTGGCCAGGGAGCGTCATGAATTTCTGCCGGGAGGCGTGGACGTGGGACTTCGCTGCTTCTTTTTAACGCCAGAGGAGTGGGGGGCGCGACGCCAAAAGCCGGCGAGGCGGGAGCGAGCCCCTCTCTCCAAAGCAGCGCCTAAGCGAGCACCGCCGCGGCTCCTTCCGTGGGGCTGTTTGCTTTCGTTTCCACGGGGTTTCGGTGTAAACCGAGCAAAGGTAAGGCGAAACGCAGCGTGAATGGCGCGGGGAGGGAAGGAGAAGAGGAAGAAGGGAACGGAGTCCGTCTCTTCCAGGGGCCTCGTCGTCCCTCCGGCTTCTCCTTTGCTTTCTCCGCCGGATTGGAGGGCGCTTTTGTGACACGCGTGAGGGTGGGGTTCGCGAGCTTCTTGCGAGGAAAGTTCGGTCAATCGGGCGGCTTTCGAAAGAGCGCGGCGACAAGAAACAACTCTCGCGGCTCGACGACCTGTGCGCGTAGGCTAGGACCCCTTCTCGTTCTGACGAATGGTAAATCCGCGCCTCTGTTGTTGCGCCCCAAACCTAGGTAAGAGGACCTGGGCGGGATTTTCTGTGAAAGAGAGGTAACGATCCCTGCGTGCGGAAAGCTAGTGCGCCAGGGAGATTACGCTAGGAACTTCACCCCGGCAGCTTGTTTTCTGTATGCATCAAAATCCAGCAAGAAATCCACTTATTAAAAACGTCAAAGTTTAATCACTGCATCCTTTGTGAGAACAAGACAGCACCGCTGGATTTATCCTTAGATGTTCTGGTTTATTCAAATCATTTCTGCCATAGAAGCCTTGGGCCTTCAGACTATGAAGATGAACTTTGCGTAGCTCTCATTTTCACTTTGACACCATCCCTCTTTTTCTCTCTCTCTGATATATTACCTGGCCTCTGATTCCTTTAACCCCCTGGACTTTTATCAGATCTGTACTTTGACCTTCTATAGAGGAAGCTAGCAAGGAAGGGGAAAGGAGAAAATCTTTGGGAATGTGATTAATGCAGAGGTTATTTCCCTTTTTTACCTGTTACCTGCCGTATCCTAGCAAGGGATAATCTGCCGGATTTCAGTATAAGGTTTTGATCATGTAAACAATTCACATGGTTCTAGCATCAACGGAGCTGGAATTATTATCATTTTTCCTGAGTAAATGGAAAATCTGTGTTTAAAATGTTTATTTGACACAGTTGTCTTCATCTGATTTGACGGGCTCCCCAAACTGGATGAGCATATTAGAAAGTCCTGAGCTGCCAGACTAAAGCTGAAGCCAGCCAAGGATATTTGAAGCAGCTCCTTACTCCCAGAAACAAAAGAGAGAGTGATTGTTGCACATACATGAGGACAGTGGTGGCATTAATTGTGAAAGGCAATGCAGAGTATCCTCCAAACTGTGGGCATGGATTTTTATTTGTGGTTTTTACCAGTCAAGTGAATTGGAACAACTGGCGTGTGGCTCTGAGGGTGATGAAGTAGCTACTACGAGGATGGTTGGCTCTAATAAAGTTGAAGGGAAATATATCAGGAACCATATTTGGTATAAAGAAGACAGTGGAGCAGAAAAATATATCAACAACCATATTTGGTGTGAAGCTTAGAAGGCAATTTTAGGGGCCCTGTAAGATACTAAAACATGCAGTTACATGCTGTCAAATAGGCAATTAATTCAGAAGGTATATAGGACTGCTATACATTTTGGGCACAAAAATCAGAACAACAACTAGATGGCAGCAAAGAGTTAAACATTCATTGTATCCTCTGCTGATCAGACATGATAGCAACAGATTTTCTAGTCCTATTTGTAATGTCCTGAATATTAATGCTTTCTTATTGTTTATTAATTAGACAGCAAACATTTTTTTCCTAAACATCTTGCTTGATGGTCTTTCAAAAACCAAGATGTTATATAGTGCTTTGCCTTCTTTGGGGATTAAAGAAGCAATTCTAGTATTCAGAGATGAGAATCTGATTTAATTTAGTTTGAAACTTTGCCTTTATTTCAACAAAAAATCAAATCCAAATAAAGATATGCTTGCTAAGTCATGTGTTTGTTTGGTTCTGTTTTAGTATGTATTCACTAAGTCCAGTGGTTTATGGTTTATAAGCCACAATGAGCTTATTTAAGAATCCAATTAATTGGACTTTGTAAACAAAGCATGAGTTAGTATAATGTTAGTATAATCTAGTTAGCATAACTAGATCATAATGTTCCTGCTATCCCTGTGTTTTGCTATGCGGATATTACCATAGGCTGCAACTTTGTGTATATCTTTTGAAAGTGAGTTCTTTGAAACAAGTAGTGATTGCTGAAATCTAGACATGTATAGAATTGTACTTCAAAAAAGAAACCCCTCCCTTCTTTTGTTGAAGCCCTCTTACACATGGTAGCAGATGCTGAGCAGGAAGTGTTCAGTGAATGAAAAAAAGCTTGTTCTATTTGCTCAAGTATTTCATGATGGTTTTACTCTTCTACTGTCTCACTTTTCACCCTAGACTAGAGTGTATTGGGTCCGATGTTCTGAATGCGTTTCATCTCTCTTTGAGACCAATTAATGGAAAATTACTTAACATTTTACATAATTGTATAATGTATTGATAAGTAGCACCAGCAACAGTTGTACTTTGTATCTGTGAGCAGGATACTTGAAAGATGCTGAGTCTGTCCAACCTAAAGAGAAAAGCAGAATTATTAGCATTAGACCTTGGACATATGCTGATAAACGAAGGCTTATTCATGTATTTTAATATGAAAGGTTGTTACTGTAGAATTGTTATTTGGGGTTGATATTCTGACATAATAGCCCCTCTCTGCATAAAAGGAGAATTGCAGTTGTTTGGGTATATCATCCTTCTGACTTTCTTGACTAATTCTTAGGCTATTGTGTTTCTGTTTGGGACTTTGTATTCTACATGCAATCATAGTCTTGCTTACATAATCATTGGGTGAAAGAAAAGATTTTGCCAGGGAATATGGATTATTTTCCAACTCATTTTAATCTTTCATTCATTTCCTAAGCTTATTTACAGAAGTGAAAATAAATAAGTTAGAGATTTGTTATTCTAGGCCTAGGATAATTCCACTGTCAAATTGAAATGTTGCTGAACTACAAATATGATCTTATATCATCAACCATACTGACTGTTGGGCTGCTGGGAATGATAGTTCAGTTCACATCTGTTATGCTATAAGCTGCTTATATCTGCTACAGATTACTATTACTTGATGCTCTCTTTAGCATACATTTAAACATTTAACCTATCTTTTTGTTAAAGACCTGTTTGCCTTATATGTATTCTCTGCTTCAAAGAACTTGTGAGTTATCCCTGCAGTTATTCTTGAATACTTGTAAATTGTTTGTGTTTCTTAGCCAATATTAGTTTCAAAGCCCCAAGAGAAAGTTGCTATCCTGAAAAAAATCAGAAAGGGGGGTGAAATGCATAATATATTAGTAGGCAGCTTTGTACTGGCATGTCTTCTGCATAAACTGCATTGAACATTCACTCTGGGGGCTACTATGCTGCCTGTGTTACATCCAGTTAAAGCCATTTGTTCTATATTTATAGCATTATGCTTTACAAATCCATATGAGTATTTTATACACAACAGCTATTTGTGCTTTTTTTCTTTCATATTGGAATCTGGTTGCCTTCATTTTCTGCATTTTATTTAATGCAGATGGTTTAAGGGTTGCAGTTAGAGGTCCCACAGCTAATTCAGAGTCCCGTTATAGTAGTTACCGAAGTAGTTCATATGCTGTAAATAACAAAACAAGGTAACTGTGCAGTTAAAAAGCAAGGTCCAGAAATATAAAAATTTGCCAAACGTTCCAATCAGAGCTTTAAAATAGAAGTTGACTCTTAGTAATCAGATCAATCTTCAATTCTTACTTACCGGTACTTTTATTTTGTTTTACCAGTGAGAGGTCAAGGGCTTTGTCTCCCATTACTGTCTTTGAAGAAAGAAAACTTCAGAATGACAAAAATGTGCATTATCTATAAGAGAAGGCTTCTTATCTAGGCATCTAGCAACTGAAATTCAAAAGCCTCTGATCCTTAGATCCCTTTCAGGATGTCTGCTGAAAACTGAAAGACCCATTTCCCACTATTTTAAAGTAGGAAACAAATAAAACTGCAATGATAATCCTACTGTAAATAATTCATAGCTGTTAATTTTTTAAAAAATGATAATTCCCCCACATTGAACTTCATAGCCAAGGTTTAATGTAGCTCCTGCTCAACAAGAATGTTTACCTTCTACTATAGCCTCTTTTGCAGCCAAAAATGATGTAAATTTACAACCTGTCTATGATAGTTGGCTTATTTATCTTGACAATGAAAGATCCTGTTGAAAATACTACTGTGGCCTTGTCATTGCTTTTAGCTTTGTCAAGGCTATGCTGTAAGAAGCTGGGCTATGGTGAGCTAAAAGTGCAAATAGGGGACTACATAAAAATATATCAGCAACAGGAAGACTTTATTGTTCAGATCATTTTCCAGGCCAAATTGTCTTTCCAAATAGTATAAAAGTCCACTCACCAGTATAGGTGGATCCAGTCAGTCATTAATTTAAAAATGTTTCAATCAGTAAGATACTCCAAGTTGTAATTCTGGTAGCTAGATGTTGTGGTAGTTAAAGTACTAGCTTGTCACTTGAGACACCTGGGTTAAAGTCCTCGCTCAGTGACAGAAAATCATTAAGTGATGAGTCAGCTGTTTTCTCTCACCTACTTCACAAGAACTATTGGCAAAGCACTGGAGAAGAAAACGCACTATAAACAAGTTTCAGCTCCTGGACAGAAGGTAGGATATAAATTTAATAAATCAATAAATATCAGGGAGACCCAGCTATATATATTATAGGTTGGGTGACTCCTGAGTCTCTATCAACATATTTAAAGACCCAGGAAACAAACAAAGAAAAAATTAGAATGATTTCTTTCTTCCCCTTGGGAAGATTGTTTTCATTTTGGCCTTCTCTTTTATTGGAGAAAAAAAAATTGAATAAAGTTTCCCCTAAATCCATTTCTGTCTTCATATCTTTAACTCTATCCCTCATATACAATACTTCAATGAGAAATTGAACATCTCAATTGTGTCTCTCATTAATTCACAAAGATACTATAAAAATCTATAGCAAAAAGGAATCTTCCATTCTTGTCTCCTAAGGCTGGATACCCTGTCTAACACTTTCTTAAATCCACATTTTATTTAATATGTA